TCTTTCTGTGGGAAAGCATTTGAATCTTTGGTTGCAGGATGGAGGTCGGCAGTGTCAGTTGATGCTCTGGGTGGTTATCTGTCATTTGTGACCATAGGGCATCTATGGTCAGATTCAGGCCAGATAGGAGAATGCATACTAGATTCGCAGCAATAAGTGGTTGAAAAGCAAGATAACATCATTTTGGGGGCATGTTCCAAAGGCATAGGTATTCTGCTTTATTTGTCCATATTTCAGTTGGATCTTTCTTAGCATCAATGACTTGAAAATGTAATCTACTGAGAACTCAATCAATTCCATCTGTAGTACTTGAAGTGCCTTGGTGATATCAACTAGTGAGGCTGAAATGCTATTTGAGTGTGATGTTAATGATTCTCAAAGTCATTGAACTTTTCATTATATTCTCCAATTAATAGGTCTATTAACAGTTGGATATTCTTCAAATAATTCACATGTATCATTCTGCTCATGAATGACCTTTGCTAGCTGGGGAAAATGTTCATTGAAATTACCTTTTGAAAAAAAGATATGATCGCTTTTTTCAAAATGTTTAGATTTTTTTGCCACATATCTTGTATAGATGTAGTTTTACCTTGAAAAGAAATATTCAAGTTGTTTTTTTATTCGACACTATCACCTAGAAACTCTACATTCCAACAGAAATCTCCTTTCTGTAATTCACATTTTTGATTCTGTTCTTTTTAAAATTTAACTGCTCTCACAGAGAATAAAATTTTGGCCAACAGCTCACTTTAGAATGGTAAGGCAAACTCACACTGAATACCTCATGTTCCACTTTAGCAAGTTATGAAACTCATGATATGGCCATTGCTTTTGTACAATATAGTTAACAGTACTTTTTACTTGTTGCAAAGTGTTACTTAAAATAGTACCTTTAGCACAGAGGTTTTGTTGATGCAAAATACAATGTAAAGAAGTGAGAGTATTTGGATCTGTTAATACTTTTTTGGATCTGTTAATACTTTTTTTAATCTGTGAAATAAACCCTTCATGTTTTCCTGTCATGGAAGGGGAACTGTCTGTACTTATACTTACTAAATTTACCAAATTCAGTATAACTTCATAAGAGTTATCTTGAAAGTTGTTGACCATGTCTCTTCCCCATGTTCTGTTTGCAAGAGTGCCCAAAGACAGTAACTCTTTGTAGCAAAGAAAACTGTGACCCAAATGAAGCAAAAAACCTATGCTGAGTCAGTAGTGTCGGTTGATTCATCTAAAGCAAATGAATAATATATATATAATAATATATAATATATATAACTGAAAACTATTTTCCTTTTCAAGTATTGTGTGAAGTTGCTGTGTTAAGTTTAAGGCTAATTCATGCTGCAGATCAGTTATGCTTCTCCTTGAAAGAGGAGTTCTTTGTACTTTGAAACATTGTCAGGTCTAAGCATCCCACAACTTAGGCAATTCATTCTTTCACAATTTCTGCTTCACTGAATGGCTTCCCTTTTTTCTTCTGTATGTAAATATGGAAGTTGCTTCAGCGGCATTATTTCCCCATCTTATTGCTGCTTGAGAGAATTGTCTCTGCTTTGGATTTTTGTCTGTTAATTTCTACAATACAACCTTCATGCCCCTTCCCCTAATTTAAAATATTTGTGGTCCTTATAAGTGTTATAATTCTGATGAACATTGAATTTCTTTAATGTTGATATTGCAGTATCACAAAGTAAGCAAATCATCTTATCTTTAGCAAGAATATACTGCAATTCTCAATCCTCATTAAAAAGAAAATCTCTTTTCTTCTTGGTTTTCTTTGACATGTTGGGCTGTTCAGCAGACAGAATTAAAAACTACTGAGCTGTGCAACTATTCACAAATTGTACTTCAAACAGAAACACAGTGCACCATCGTCAATGGCTGATAATAGACAGACCCCATAAATTCCCACCAACCAGCCTCCTATGATAATGGCACCAGTCACAAGGAGGCAGTTAGAACTAAATCGTGGGTGTAGCATACCTTAGGATTTATGAATGTTCTAATTGTGTTGGTGAATCTGGGAGGATTATTTCATGAAACTTACTTTAATCTTTGGTATTTTAAATATGTTCATTTATAAAAATATAAAAGACTAACAAAAATTTATTGTTATTTAAATAAAAGGATTTGTTCTGTAAAATTTGGATTCAGTCTAAGGACACACTTAAGGACCTAGAAGGCTACATGTGGCCTTAAGGCTGCAGGTTCCCTACCCCTGATTTGGACAAATGCACAATGACATGTATCCATCCTTGTAAGGTGGGAACAGAACAAGAGGAGAAAAGTGATAAGCATCAGGTTACTCTAGGGTACTTGTCTTCAAGAGTTAAAGAGAAGGGACTTTGGGTAATTGTCTTCAAGAGTTAAAGAGAAGAGACTTCTTTACTCAGGCGGACTGGAATTTCCACTTTTCAGGAAAAACCGGTCTGTTTGAGGATCTACTTGCTTTCTTAAAGTTTCAGTTTGATTAAATGATACATGGCATAAATGGTTCCATTTTACTTTGGTCTGGTCTTTTGGAGGCCTAATATAGGAGGAGCTTGGTTCAAAATAATGGGCTTCTGTAATTTTTGTTTAACATCTAGAATGTTGTATAGTTGAAATCATCCAATGTGTAGTTTTTCAGATTGGCTTTTTTCACATAAGAAAAATTTTTTTTTTTTTTTTGCAGTTTTTGGCCAGGGCTGGGTTTGAACCCACCACCTCCAGCATATGGGGCTGGCAGGGCTCTACTCCTTTGAGCCACAGGTACCGCCCAATTTTTTTTTTTTTTTTGAGACAGGATCTTACTCTGTTGCCTTAGACTACAGTGCAGTGGCGATGCAGCTCATGGCCTCCTCAAACTCCTGGGCTCAAGTGATTCTCTTGCCTTAGCCTCCAGAACAGGTGTCCTCAAACTACGGCCCACTGGGTGTTTTTGCTGCCACTGCCTGTCCTGCTTAGCAGCCGACTCGTCCTGGGGCCTGCAGTCCGGCCCTCCAATGGTCTTAGGGACAGTGAACTGGCCCCCTGTTTAAAAAGTTTGAGGACCCCTGCTCCAGAGTATCTGGGACTACTGGTGCCCATCATAAGGTCTGGCTGGGTTTTCTGTTTTTAGTAGAGATGGAGTCTCACTCTTACTCAGACTGTCTCAAACTCCTGAGCTCAAGCAATCAACCCGGTACCTTGGCCTCCCAGAGTACTGGGATTATAGGTCTGAGCCACCACACCCAGCCATAAGAGAAAAATTTTAAATTGTAAATTCTGGTTAGAAAAACATATCTGGGAAGATTGCCCTCACAAACCCAGTATGCAGCTCCCTTCAGGAAGCTGGGAGACAAGCTGGGACTTGTGGCCTGCCAGCTGCATCATCAGTCAGTCCCAGGCCAGCTGTGTTGATGTGTTGTGGCTGAGTTGCCCTCACACCTTCCTCCTCATGATATTTTTAACTGTATTGGACTAGGTCCACAGTGTAGAGTTATAAATAGGACTGGGTGGAGAGACATGGTCATGCTAATAATTAGGTGTCTCTTCAAAGTTGTGTTCTTAAATATTTGTTCCGTATTTATTCATTGGAGAGGCTGGGTCCTGTGTGCGGAAAGAGCAGAAAAGGAGGCAAGTTGGCAGGATCTGGCGCACACCAGAACAAAACTCTCCATTAACCAGACCTTAAAAGTCAGTTTGGTGATTATCTGTTGTTTTAAAATCTCATCGTCAGTCACTCTCTCCCCCTGGTAGTTTATCAAATATTTCTTCCAGTTGGGAGCAGTTTCTGGCAGATCCTTATTTTGATCTTGATACACTTCCAGTGATGTTCTATTTCCTTTTACAGATTTATGCCCTGGGCAACTGCCCGACTGGCTATTGCCAGCCTGACTTGGTCATCCAGCTCTTAACCTCTGTGGATTCTGGCAAAGTTTTGGCAAAGTTTTCCTTCTCTACCTAGAGTTCCTAAGGAGATAACCTGTGGCCTGTCACTGACAGAGGGAAGCCCCTCTGGGCCCCATGGTTTTCCTTATGTAAGATTCACAGATAGATGAACAGCCAAGCTTTGCTCACCACTTTTTTTTTTGCTTCTTTTTTGGGCCCCCACTCTGGGAGACAAAGGGTGGGAAATGGGCAGGAGAAGAAACACTAAGGATTATAAAAGGGCAGAATCGGACCCTCAGAAGGAGCAACGTCTGTGCACACCTAGCAGACCAGTCATTTAGGGCAGGGCTCGGCAAATGTTTTCAGTAAAGGGCAAGATACTCAGCATTTCAGGCTTTGTGGGACATGTGGTCTCTGTCATGTTTACTCAACTCTGCCACTGTAGCATAAAAGCAGCTATAGATAATATGTAAAGGAATAGGCACAGCTGTGCTCCAGTAGAGCTTTATTTGCGGGCACATGTCCATTCTTTCTTAGCTTACTGGCCACACAAAAACAGGTAATGAGCTGTGTTTGGCCTATGGGTTGCAATTTGCTGACCTGAGCTAATGTGGGAAAGCTGAGGTTTGTCAGTATCTGGGCTGCTCCTTTTGGTGCTAAGTCAAAACTAGAAAATGCTACACGAATCCAAGGAGAATGGAGTTTTGCTGACCAGTGGACAGTAGAGGAGATTTGCTGACCAGTGGATAGTAGAGGAGTATTGCCCCTAGAGGTCAGCTGGGGTATGGCAGCAAACAGCACTACCGAGAACTGCAGGGCATGGGACGCTGCTGGCTATGCACCAGACTTCAGTCTTTGGTTCTCTGTCAATGCCTTGGAGAAGGGAAGCCAATCTCAATCTCCACACATGTTCTTTTATAATGAAACCATATTATTTATATCGTGGAACTCTTTAATTTCAGGTAATTTGTTGGCATTTCCCTCCTACATTTTCCAGTATTAATGATCTGACCTCTTTGTACTACTCAGACAAGAATTCACCCATTTTTAGGTGATAAATAGCTATTTTTGATCATTTATGTGTTTATTTTATTGATTTACTTTTGAATTCTTAACCATAATTTTTCTCCTGTTATCAATAGGATCCTTACTACAGATTTAATGACCTTAACTATAGATGGATCTCCTTGGATAACTGGACCTATAGCAAGACATTTAAAATCCCCTTTGATATTAGGTATGTATGGATGGATGTGCCTATGTATTTATTATAATTTGAACTTTTCTTCTCCTTCCTTCCTTCCTCCCTTTCTCCCTCCCTCCCTTCCTTTCTTCTTTGTCACCCTTGGTAGAGTGCTGTGGCATCATACCTCACAGCAACCTCAAACTCCTGGGCTCAAATGATTCTCTGGTCTCAGCCTCACAAGTAGCTGGGACTATAGACACCTGCCACAATGCCCGGCTATTTTTAGAGATGGGGGTCTTGCTCAGGCTGGTCTCAAACTCCTGAGCTCAAGCAATCCACCAAGCTTGGCCTCCCAAAGTGCTAGGACTATAGGCGTGAACCATCTTGCCCGGCCCTATGGAGTCATTTTTCCAATGTTTATAATGGAGTTACCTGAACCTAGTTCATTCTCTTTGGTAGATTTCCTCTATAACCCCTAGTAATCAATAGAGTCTATATATTTGTAACATTTTAAAATAGAGATATATCATTTGCTCTGTGTGGTGCTAACCAATCTTTGAGACCATGTGAAGACACGGGAAATGCACAGATATTATTTTCAGTAATGTTTTATATTATTGTAAACAAATATTTCCATATAAGTTAGAAGGTAATCCAAATATGTATACACCACTATTGCTAAATGAAAAAAAAACCATTCTTTTGTCCCTATTGTACAATTTTTTTGTAATTATTTACTAGTTTCAAAGAAAAAAAAAGCCAGAATTTTGTGCTTAGTATCATGGAGTTACTGCTATGCTCCGGGCTTTTATTTCTAGGTAATACTTAAAATATTTTCTATAATGATCCTATTTCATCTTGGACTGACTGTCCAAAATTTAACCAACTGACTTTCTCTCTTAAAGCTAACTTTATATTCTCACAGCCTCATTGTTTGTTTCAGTGTAACACCATTTTCTGTTATTTTCATCTCCCTGTATTCAGTTTGTTTCTGAGACTTGTGAATTTTTGTCTAATTGGTTTAGCCCCTTGCTTCTTGTTTCCAACTTTCTATCTTTTCCTGAAGGCGAGTGCCTAAAAAAGGTCAAAGCTGCCTAATTGAATTTCTTGCTTTGTTCTTTTATTCTCCGATCTTTTCTATATAGAAAGTTTAAATTCATCTTTCCAAAATATTGATTTTGCCATGACATGTTTTTGCTCAAGAATAGCAAGTGTCTTTCTTCTGCTGGCAAATCAAGTCTAAACAGTCTAAACTCTGATCGTCTGTGAAAAGACTGCTGAATGGGCCCTGTGCCTGTGACAATGCCTGTGTCCCTCTGCCCTGCTGATGTGTCCAGCTTTCTTTCCACCACTTCCCCAGCCAGTTGTGCATATGAGTCAAATCTTTTACCTTAAAGAAATGGATGCTGTTAGCACTTCTTTGCTTTAGTTTTATTTTTTCCTGGTGATGGTAGGGGGTGGTCTGCCATCTACCCAGCATTTCTACTCATTTTTATTTTTAAGAACAACTTTATTTAGAAATAATTCACATATCATATAATTCACTCATTTAAAGTGTACAATTCATTGTTTTCTTACATACTTACAGAGTTATGAAACCATCGCCATAATCAATTTTAGACCATTTCCCTCATTCCCCCTAAAGAAAGCCACACCCATTAACAATCATTCCCCCTTTCCCAACCCTTCTTCCGCCAAGTTCTTATCCCGGCTGTAGGCAATCATTTATTTAATGTCTTATGTTATTATTTTATTTTAATTCATTTCATTTCATTCTCACTCTGTTGACCCAGGCTAAAGTGCCATGGCGTCATCCTAGCTCACAGCAACTTCAAACTGGGTTCAAGTCATCCTCCTGCCTCAGCCTCCTGAGTAGCTGGTACTATAGGTGCCTGCCACACTGCCACAATGCTTGGTTAATTCCCCCCCGCCATTTTTAGTAGGAACAGGGACTCACTCTTTTGCTCAGGTTGGTCTTGATCTCCTAAGCTTAGGTGATCTTCTGCCTCGGCCTCCCAAAGTCCTCCCAGGATTGTAGGTGTGAGCCATCTAATTTACTTCCTGCCACTGGATTTTCCTGTTCTCCATACCTCATATAACTTGAATCATGCAATATGTGGTGCTTTGTGATCAGCTTTATTTCACTTAGCCTACTAATGTTTTCAAAGTTTATCTATATTGTAGTATATATCAGTATTTCATTCATTTTTATTATTATTATTTTTGTAGTTTTTGGCTGGGGCTGGGTTTGAACCCGCCACCTCTGGCATATGGGGCCAGCGCCCTACTCCTTTGAGCCACAGGTGCTGCCCTCATTCATTTTTATTTTTGAATAATATTTTTTAGTGTGGATATAACACATTTTATTTATTTTTCTTTAAGGCTAAGTTCTTTCTTTCCTTTTTGCCTTTTTTTTTTCTTTTTGACAGAGTCTCACTTTGTCACCCTGGGTACAGTGCCATGGCATCATAGCTCACAGCAACCTCAAACTCCTGGACTCAAGTGATCTTCTTGCCTCAGCTTCCCCGGTAGCTGGGACTACGGGCACCCACCATGTCTGGCTAGTTTTTCTATTTTTAGTAGAGACGAGGTCTCACTCTTGCCCAAGCTGGTCTTGAAATCGTGAGCTCAAGCTATCCGCCTGCCTTGGCCTCCCAATGTGCTAGGATTACAGGTGTGAGCCACTATGCCCAGCTGTAAGTGTTTTCTTATGGGATGAAGACCAATAGCCCTGTAGTTGTTCAACAAGATTGGCAGCCAAAGAATGCCAACCAGATTACAGACTCTTTAAATACAGAGGCTGTTAAGTTTCTTGTATGGCTTAGCAGAAGAGTTTCTTGTAGGCTGGGCACATAATATTTGCTCATAGATACTAGTTCGTTGGGTAAATGTGTCCTCTTAGATAGTCTTAGTAAATGTTATCATTTGTGAAAATGTTTTCTAAATCTATTATTTAGCCTGGTTCTCCTAAGAACTTGGTGAAGTAACTAGAAAAAAATTAATATATTTGGAAATTGTTAAGTTGTGCTCTTGATTTTATGGTGATTATTGATATATTACAGAGGAAGATAAGCTGGGTCACTCAAAGAACATAAATGTGTATTAAACCAATATTTAGGAAAATCTTATTGGAAACTGCCTATTTAAGGATATATATTCTTGTTGAAATGTTTGTTCCTTTAGTTCTTAACTAATTGAAAAATAAGTTAATGTTTTAGAGATCTTGTTTTAAAAATGTTTTCTTTTTTTAGCAAATGGCAAAAAGTAAATTTGATTTTTGAGGGAGTAGATACAGTTTCAAAAATCCTGTTCAATAACATCACTATTGGGGCAACAGACAACATGTTCAATAGATATGTAAGTATATCATGGCATCAGGTTAAAAAAAATCCTGTGTGTTTGTGTTCATTGTTTTTGTGAGTAGAGAGAAGCTAATGCATAATTGGCCGCGTATTAAGTACAAGCTGTTTGAAGCACTGGATAAATTACTTTATTTCTCAGCTGCCACATTTGTAGAATGTTGGAAACACTACAAACCCCATGGGGTTATTGTGGAGATTTAATAAGCTAATTATATAAAATGGTTGGCAAGTTCTCGGTACATTTGAAACGTTCAGTGAGTGCTGTTCCCTTCTCTGTTATTTGGTGATCCAGGGTTTCATGGGAAGTGATAATTGACAAATGATTTTAAAGGAATATATTCTTTTATTCCTGGAATAATTAAATTTGGAGATCATATCTTGATTATCCTTCCCTTTCAAGGGTAGACTTTTCAAAGCAAAAATAACTCATGACTTAGAAATACATGCTGTTCATGCCAGAGAGTCAGGCTGTCATGAAGTGTCTAGGAAATCCTTGGCAGTTCAAGGCCACGTGTAAATAGCCAGGTCAGACATTCCAGAGGTAAAGATATTTTTTTGCTCTATTGTTTTCTCAAGATTCTCATTCATTCAGGAAAAATACAGGGAAAAACCTAGAAATCTGCATTTGGGTAGGAAAATATGTTTAGTTAGAACTGAAAGTGGGAAGCTAAGTTCTACTACCATATTTCGGAGAGGTGCTCCTCTTGCAAGGAGGCTGGATTCAAATTATTTTATGCAACTTTCATATACTTTGCCTTTCTTTAAAATTTTACACACAAGTCTGCTTCCACATCATGAGTTTGTCTTTGTTCCCTTTAACTCAGAGCTTTGATATTACCAGCTTGGTCAGAGACGTGAACTGCCTCGAGGTGCGTTTCCAGTCAGCGCTGTCGTACGCGGCACAGAGGAGCAGAGCTCACACTCGCTACAGGGTGCCCCCAGAGTGCCCCCCATCTGTGCAGAAGGGCGAATGCCACGTCAATTTTGTTCGGAAGGTAATAGTTTCTAAAATGGATGAAGCTTTATCTTTGATGCTGGAGCGAGCCAGCGTATGGCAAATGGCAAAATGTTGGTTGAAGTTTCTGATGGTATTTCAGAAGTTGGGAATCTTGTTCCTGGCCCCTTAATGGGATTTGGAAATTTGAAATAATGGGAACAAAAGATTATCTGAATTTTTGTGTCAGATCTTCCTAAGTTTTTTCCTGAAGCATGCCTCAGAACTTAGTAACATCAGAAAAAGAAGAAAAGCATGTGGCTGATAATGTAACTTGACAAATTTTTTTTTAACATTGAGGGTTATCATAATTACGCTAAATTGTAAAACTGTATTAGTGATTCTTATTACTATGAAGCTTTCTGAAAATATTAGTATATTTGCTGCCAGAGTCTCATATTTTACTGCTAGGTTCTCATAAAATCTAACGAGAAGATAAAATCCACAAAGGTAATTTTTTTTGTTTGTTTTTTTGAGACAGTATCTCAAGCGGTCACCCTGGGTAGAGTGCTGTGGCATCATAGCTCACAACAACCTCCAGTTCTTGGATCAAGCAAGCCTCTTGCCTCAGTTTTTCTAGTTTTAATACAGACAGGGTCTCACTTTTGCTCAGGCTAGTCTTGAATGCGTGAGCTCAGATAATCCACCTGCCTCAGCCTCCCAGAGGACTAGGATCATAGGCTTGAGCCTCCTCGCCTGGCCTGATTAATTTTCTTTGAGTCCGATTCAGTCTAGAGGACTTGGATTTATTTTAATACAAGATTGAATTATTATTCTATGTGACATTTAGGTTTTTAATGTTTATTGTATTTTATTTAAAAATTTTTATGGTAGGGTGGCGCTTGTGGCTCAAAGGGGTAGGGCGCTGGCCCCATATACTGGAGGTGGCGGGTTCAAACCCAACCTCGGCCAAAAACTGCAAAAAAAATTTTTTTTTATGGTAAAATATATATAACAAAATAATTTATTATCTTTGCCATTTTTGAGTGTACAGTTTAG